AATCAAGTTCAGCAGCTCACATGACTGTTAATTCAGGCATAAGAAAGATACTCCCTAACTCTGATATATGTGATTTCGACTTCGATCTCTCTGGTTATTCCATGAATTCTATTGAAGGAGCTGCTCTTTCTACCGTTCATTTTACACCAGAAGATGGTTTAGTTATGCTAGTTTTGAAGCAGTTGGGTACGATCTGAAATCTTTGAGTCTGGGTTTGCTGATTGAGAGGGTGCTGGTATGTTTCCAGCCAGACGAGTATTCTATTGCTTTGGACGCTGATGTTGCTTTTGCTAGTTACTGCAGCATATTTGCTCTCTGGATGTTAAGTATTTATCACTTTCTGAGTGGATCCCAGAAGAACCTGGTAAGAGTGGTTCCATTGTCTACCAGAAATTCGTTAAGACGTCCGTTTGTCGATCTCCCAAGTCTATTCTGAGAAGGGGAGCCTTGGAGCAACGGTCAAGTTGTCTCCGTGTGATCTATAAGTGATCACGGGTTCGAGTCGTAGAATTAGCCACTGATGCTTGCATCAGGATAGGCTGCCTACATCGCACCCCCTAGGTCTTACCTCGAACTCTGCGTGAACGCGGGATGCTTTGTGCACCGGGCTGCCCTGCCAAGTCTATTCTGAAGGGCTGCTGGAAAGAGGAAGAGAAGAAAGAAAAGGAGTAGTGCCGAGGGTTTGCTTGTTTCTGTTAGTGCGTCAATTATGAATGTTTTCTAGTGTTTGGTTACAGTATTGTTCCTCGTTTCTCAGAATTATGGACTTAACAGTCCACATAGTCTGTCCTTTTGGCTCAGTAATTTGTAAATTCTGAACTACGTCTGGCTTTCTGGTGTACTGCAGAAGCCCTATGGTCTTTGGTATATTGTTTGTTCTTTGTTGTTGTTTGTCAATTGACCCTAATAAATAGTGTGTTATTTATTTATGTACTGGCGTACTGAAAATTATGTAATAAGATATCCAGTGTGCTGTTGTTTTCTGCAGCCTGCCTTGTTTTACCATTTCCTTGGTGTGGTGGATGGGTTAGCTACAAAGATTTGCTGCACCAAAGGGAAAAGATAAGTCATGACTAACAGCTAACACAAACAAAAAAAGAAGGTAAGTTTTTGTTGTATTACAAATGATTTGCACAAAAAGCAAAACGTAGATGGTTGTTTAACAATTTTGATTTGTAAGGCAGTTACCAATTCATGTTTCAAAACATTGGACTTGGAAAATAGTGAAGAAATGCTTTCTGTAACCAGCTCCAGATGTATTTACCCATCCATGCTTCAGCTTATATCAATGTGTATGAAACTAGAATGTAAGTTCATGTCAATGAATCTTTTTCCTCTATGGGGTGCAAATTGCGTGAAGTAAAAATTATACAACAACGACTCAGTCTTAAATAAGTTGGAGCCGGGCAAAACAAGTTGGAGCCGGTCAGTGCCCCGTCCAATTAATCACGAGCCTTCCTAAGAATTCGTCTTACTTATGCTAGATTTTTTGTGCAAAATGCATGTTTGAAATATTTATGCGGGATTATTTTAGCTTTCGTGAAATATACATAATGGGGCTTTACGGTTATCATATCTTAGTGAAAGACCGATATATGTATTCTGCCTTGATGAATTTTGAACTGTATTCTTTCATGTAAAATAACGATTTATAAAACGGCTTTCTCTTATATAAATTCTCAATGAATTCAATTATAGAAAAGGAAGAGTACTCTGGGCAGGTAAAAAAATTAAAAATTCCTGAATCTTGAATTAATTTGTTCAATAATTTACCAAGCACAAGAAAAAGGTAAATAATTGGAAATCACGAATTTACAGTAATTTGAAGCTGCTAAGGTTGTTACAATATGTTACCAGACCGTCCTTTTTTCTTTAAGGAGAAACCTGCACTCTGCTCTCTGGCAAAGAGTACCTTGCTTTTTCTTTCACTAAGACAAGTTATTATTCAATTTTCAGTCTCTTTTCTCCCTTTTTCTGGTAAAAACGTACACTAACATGTATATGTTCTGTATATATTTTTCTCGTATTTTCTTTATGCATTTTGAACTTGTGGCGAGGGAAAGGTGGGAGGGGGGAGGGGGACCATCGATATGGCTATATGGTTTTGTTCAGACTTGCTTTTACGTCAACCATTAACCATTTATCAAAAACAGAAGAAAGATCATGAATTTGACTCAAGCCAAGGGCTAGTTTTTTTTCTTAATAATATCATTTGTATTCGAATCGCATTGGCCGATTAATCTAGATCCTTGTGAGATAAAGCACTCCCTGCCGCGGAAGGTCATCCATTTGTAGGACTCGAAGTCAAAACCTTTGATTAAGGGTGAATAAATTTTAACTATCTCACCATACTCTTTAATGGTCAAGCCAACGGCCAGTACATATGTCAGTTGTGGCAGTAGTATGATGAAATTCTTGCTACGCGGGATCCTAATACAAGAGTACAATACTGAAGATTTAGACTGGTTAAAATCTTCACGTGAGCATATGGTTGTTAATTAATCGGGAAGCCATCTCAGATTGACAAAAGGTTGAAGATCATCCAAAAAATTGATCGTTCATCTTTGTTGGTTGCATATATAGTTTCTTCTCCTTTTATTTTATTTGTATAGAGTTGGATTAAGTTATATACATTGTGTTTTTAACACTATTATTAGTACAATTTAACTGGTTAAAGCATGTTGTTACTTTATTTTTTAGTTTATTATATCATGTCATGAAGAGTTAAGCATGTTTTATCTTATGGTGTAAAAAACTAATTTATTGATAGTGTAGAGAACTTAAACTCGATGGATTTAACAAAGAGAATGGTTATGATAGTATACTTGTTAGTTTGAGTGACTTTATGGATTACTAAAGAACTTGGTTCTTTACCTTACTCCTTAAACGTGAAGTAAAATAAGCAGTAAAGTGAACGTAGCAATTTTTACGTGAAAAATCACCCAGCTCAAAAGGTGCAAAAATCACGACCTACTACGTAGGATTTTCAACTTTAACTTCACTAGAACAATGAGCCAAATGTATCGATTACAAAACTGTAACTCCATATTCTCCAGTACTCCTACTACAACTACTTGATTTACAAGTTACTCTAACTTGTAAAACAAACACTCACTCTAACTCACTAATTGTTTATGACACTTTGATTACAACTCGATTTCCTAAAATACATTCACTAGACTGACTCAAGAAGAACACAACACTAGCACTCAACTAGAGTGTGTAAAATATAGTTCTTTAGTTGATATGCAAAAGGATAATCCTAGCAGTCCAAAAGGGTAGTATTTAAACTCCTTGGTCTCCGAGATCTTCTAGGAGTCCTATGCGTAGTCAGCTTCTCATTTGATAGGACTCCAATTGTTCCAAGGACTCCACAAGTCTTGGGACTCTTATCTCTCAATTATGCATGCGTATCTTCTTGGTCAACAACCCTTATCATGTTTAGCAGTCTTCTTCCACCAAACTCGGACATGTATAACTTTGAGATAAAGTCATTGTCTTGCAAAGATGCACAATCATCATCCTTGAGGAGCTGGTTCTTAACCCTAAGAAGCTGGTTCTTAGAGCGGTGAAGCAGCTACGTTGAGGACCTAGTTCTTAGGACATTACATCTGAACAAACTTTGTTAATCATCAAAAGCTCAATACTCAACAAATTTCCTCTTTTTGATGATGACAAACTTTGTACATACTAGAATTAGGTAATCACACCAAATCTTGATCAACAAGCACATCACATCACACAGACAGGCATATCCACATCAACACAACACCCCCAACTCTATCTTTCCCCTTTTGGCATCATCGAAAAATAGCAAAAAGATGTTAGACATATTAAGCATAGTTAATGAAAGATACATGGACACTTAGGCTACAACACAAGCTCAACAATTATCAAAGCAAACAGACTAAGCTGATGATCTAACCACGTGCGAAATATTAAAACATTATAAGAGAAGTCATTTAGCAGTGCCAAAATAAGCCATGGGCCTTGTCTTTAACCATTATAACAAAATAAACTAAACATATTGCAACCTACTCAGACTAGAATAGAAGAAACAAAAACTAAAGCATCACTGAGATAACAAAAGAAACTAAGGACACTGGGGAAGGACCAGGTTCATGGGTGAGAGGCAGAGGGGGTCAATGCTTTCACAAGTGTGGCAATCTGTTGGGCGTGAGCTTCCCTATCCCTTATGAGCTCTTCCCTAAGTTGTCTGGTTTCTTTTCTCAACTCATTATTTTCTTCTCGAAGCTTGGCATTCTCCTCAACAGCCAACTCCAACCTCTTAGTGAGCTCTGCTGCCTTGCTGCTACCAGGTAGAATAGCAGAACCTGGTGGTCCCCTAGTCTTGATATCCTGATAGCCACACTGCTTGAGGGTAACATCATCCAAAACATCATTGTGACTTCCAAACATAAGCTCAGGCAAGGCAATATTGATCTTTTCAAACAACTCAATCAACATGAAGCCATAAGGCATAGCATGTTTAGGCTTGAAAATGTCTCAGTCTTGTACACCTTTTGGGGAGCATCCAGTTCAAACTTTTGAGAGAACTTGCTTGTGACCACAATTCCTGTGTCCACATCATTGTCTATGGCTAGCCACTTTTTCTTCAAGTAATTGTCAAATCCTAAAGAAGGAACATTCAGAAGCATCCTCAGCTTCTCAGCATCAAACTCTATCTCAAACACCCTTATATTACTCTTGACCACTTTTTCATCAAACTAGAACTTCGCATAGAACTCCTCCACATCAGGCACACATATAGGAGGGAAGGCCTTGACAAACATGTGTTTCCATCCTTGTAGCTTAAGTTTTTCAACTAGTTGAGTCATCCTTTTTTCATCAGTGTTTGTAATAATCTTCCCATTCAGTACTTTTTTGTCCCTAAACTCAGTGAGTTTATCAACCACAGTAGGCACACTCTTTCTTTTCTTTCCTCAACTAGCCCTTGTAGATGGAGTAGCAGTCTTTGTAGATTTGACAACCTTTCTCTTTTATGCTGATGACTTTTCTAGCAGAGTAGAATCAAACTCATCTTCTCTATCCAATTCAACAACAGGTTCCACAACTGAAACTTGCTTCCTTGGCATCTTGGAACCTCTGGACTCCTTAATGATTTGTTCATCAACAGTCTTTGTTTTACTCCTTGTGAGAGGAGTCCTAGCAAGAAGAGCCACTTCTTTCCTTACAGGGATAACAGACTTTGTTGCTTTCAGAATGGTCTTCCTGGTTTTCTTCCCTACTGCAGACAGGGGCAAGTTATCCTCATCACTACTAACCTCCTCATCTCCAGTGAAAGGAGCTAACAAGGGTCCAATTTCTTCAGTTCTTTTCTCTCCACTTTCTTCTTCTGAAGGGGCTATGACAGTGTTCCCAATAGTCATAGAGTCTTCAGATTCTCCACTTGTATTCTTATTCTCTTCATCACTCTCTCCATCCTCTCCTTCACTCTCACTTGCTTTTTCTTGATCCTCACCTTCACTCTCAGTATCAGCTTCTTCATCACTATTCTTTTCTTCATTTCCAGAATCATCCACTTGTCTATCTATCTTATCTTCTGTCTCACTCTCCTTCTTTTCACCAGAATCTCCCTCATTCTCACTCCTTTTTACTTCATTAGCCATGTCCTGAGTCTGATGTTCCTCATGACTGGCCCCTACTCCTCCTTCTTCCTCACCTTCATTATCATCCTCATTCTCAGTCCAGCTGAAAGAAAGACCATCAGATGCTTCCTTTTGTACTGGTTCTTTACTACCTTCCCCCTCAATCATAGGCATAACATAAGTGGTATCTACCCCTTTCTACAGTAGGTTCCTCCACTCATGGTTTATCACTTGTGGGTGCGACAATATCTAAGGGTGCAACATCTATAGCAGATGCCAGAACATCTAACTTTGATGGAGGGAGTTTTACCTAAATTGTAGTAATTGACATTGATTCCCCCTGAACCACAGCTTCATTAACTATTGTGTCTACTTTAGCAGCAGCATCAAGTACCACCTTGTTACTCTTGACAGATTTTCTTGGAGTAGCCTTGATCTTAGTTGACTTAGAGGTGATTTTCGAAACAGATACAAGTGCATGGATGGTTGTTTTTGGAAGTGAAGGCCCACTAGTAGTGGGAATAGTGAGTGCAGCAGAAACATGGGATGATGGTGTAGGTACAATAGAGGATATCGATAGAGAAAGAGCAGGTGCGGGTACAGGTTCACTTGATGGTTTGACATTTTTCTATGATTTGGGCTTCATATTCTTGGATTTGGCTTCAGTATTGGATGATGATTTTGCTTTAGAAGAGGTTTGGCTGGATTTAGGCATGGTGATGAGAAAATAAAATTGATGAAGGGAAATGGAGAATTATTTCTTGATTCTTGCTTAGGGTTTGAGAAGAACATTGAGGTCTGAGAAACTGATCATAAGGGGCTTTTAAAGACGTAACTCCTGATTTGATTGGAAGGGAGAGAGAGAGTAACCAAATTTGAGTTCTAACGGGACTCTATTAATGGTTACTTTGACTGTTAGGATTTTAGGAGTAATTAAACTCTAATTGCTCTAGGATTTCCCGTTACTCTTTGACTAGATGACAACTAGAAGTGATGCTAACAGGATTAGAAAGTCTGAGCATACCAGTAATTTAAGATACTAAGCCCCAATGAATTAAGACAAGATGGTACATACTTGAGTCAAAGAACCAACTCCTTAGTAACTCGTTACTCATTTCTGCAATAAAGCTTTAGCACCACAAGTTAGTATCATACAACATAGTTATCAGCTAGACTTTTCTAAGCAAGTGTGTGTCCTTAGTACAAGCACGAGATTGAATTAAACACATTGTACTTGGCTATCTATATCTAATTATACCTTTTCTAACCAATCATTGGGGTTCAATCTAGTTGGAAGCATTAATTAGACCTAATTCCAGTCTATTCCTTTCAAAGTGATCCCTACTCAAAGTGTTAGTAAAAATATCAGCAATTTGGTCTTTAGTTTTACAGAAGTTAATTGAGATATTTCTTTTTTCAGCATTGTCTCTGAGAAAGTGATGTCTAATGTCAATGTACTTGGTTCTCTTATGTTGACAGGGATTTTTAGTAATGTTTACGGCACTAGTGTTGTCACAGAAAATAGGAATACAATCAACAAAAATACCATAGTCCCTTAGTTGTTGTCTTATCCATAGCAATTGAGCACAGCAAAATGTTGCTGCCACATATTCAGCCTCAGCTGTGGATAAAGCCATTGAGTTCTGCTTTTTTGTTCCCTAAGACACCAGACAAGAACCTAGAAAATGTGTTGTTCCTAAAGTACTTTTCTTGTCAACATGAAAACATGCATAGTCAGCATAACCAACTAGATCAAAGTTATACCCTCCAGGATACCATAGACACAGATCAAGAGTCCCTTTAAGATATTTGAGTATCCTCTTGACAGCCTTCATATAAGACTCTTTTGGATTTGCCTGAAATCTTACACACAGTCCTGCACTGAATACAATATCAGGCATGCTTGTTATGAGATACATCAGTGACCCAATCATTTCTCTATATAGCTTCTCTTCAATATTTTTTCCTTATTCATCAAGGTCCAACTTTGTTGCAATGGCAATGGGAGTGTCTATGGACTTAGAGGAGTCCATATTGAATTTCTTCAGTAGTTCCTTTATGTATTTTTGTTGATGTATCATGGTTCTAGTAGGTGTTTGCTTGATTGCAACCCCAGAAAGAAGTTCAATTCACCCATCACGCTTATTTCAAACTAATTCCCATCATCTCAGTAAATTCCTTGCACATTGCTTCATTAGTAGCTCCAATAATAATGTCATCCACATATACTTGTGCAATCAAAACATTTTTTACTTTGCTCCTCAGAAACAATGTGTTTTCCACCTTTCCTCTTACAAAGTTATTGGTTAAGTGAAATTTTGAGAGTCTTTCATACCAAGCTCCTGGAGCCTATTTCAGTCAATATAGGGATTTGTCTAACTTGAACACATAGTTAGAAAATTCTTTGCTCTCAAACCCAGGATGTTGTTTAACAAACACTTCCTCCTTTAGATAACCGTTCAAGAATGCACTCTTTACATCCATCTGATTCAAGGTAAACTCCATGTTTGCAGCAAAAGCTATTAGCATTCTTATAGCTTCCATTCTAGCTACAGGTGCAAATGTCTCATCATAGTCAATGCCTTCTTCTTTATTGTATCCTTGAACCACCAGTCTGGCCTTATTCCTTGTGATATTTCCTTGTTCATCCAGCTTGTTTCTGAACACTCATCTGGTACCTATGACAGTTATGTTCTTGGGTCTTTGTACCAAGTACCAGACCTTGCTTCTTTCAAACCGATTTAGCTCCTCTTGCATGGTTATAATCTAATCTGGATCCTTTAGAGCTTCCTTTATGTTCTTAGGTTCAACATGTGAGAGGAATGTTGTAAATGCACATAAATTTCTCAAAGATGACCTGGTTTGCACTCTTGCATTAGGATCAGAGATGATGTTCTCAAGAGTGTGTGACCCAAAGGAACAGGTTCAGACAAGTCTTGGGACTCTTGTCTCTCACTTATGCATGCGTATCTTCTTGGGCAATAACCCTTATCATGTTTAGCAGTCTTCTTCCACCAAACTCGGACCTGGGTAACTTTGAGATAAAGTTACTGTCTTGCAAAGACGCACAATTATCATCCTTGAGGAGCTGGTTCTTAGAGCGGTTAAGCAGCTAGGTTGAAGACCTGGTTCTTAGGACATTACATCTGAACATTACATCTGAACAAACTTTGTTAATCATCAAAATCTCAATATTCAACAATACTAGTACATTTTATCATGAAATCTCTAATAAGTCATTACTAAATTTTCAGCTAAGTGGTTCTTTCTTGTGTTAATTGTGGTATTTTAGATCAATTAGCTTTTGGCCTTACAACAATGGCCACTCTAAACTTGCTACCTCTTTTCCCTTTGATGCAGTAGGATGAGGTTGTTGTCATTGGTCTATTCAAGACTAAACTTTTTGCTTCTGATCTCACGCAGCTTCAGTGATGGGAAACAGGGATTTGAAAGGAATTAAATAAAGGCTCTTAAGGTATATATAATCAATTCCTTTACTATATTCACGTGTTGATGTAAATTTGCTTTCTACTACTTTTGTGCCTGCTATGAAGTGTAAAGAATTAAGAAAAGAAGATTAAGAAAGAACATAAGTATTTTGATTATAACTTGTGCAGCTGGTTGAAGGTGTATCACTTATAATTTATGAATTTAAGTTATATGTGTGGATTTTTTTACTGTACTAATATAGTTTAACCTATTATAGGAAGTTAATGCCATTTTCTTAAGTTACCATCAATACTTATGAAAGAGCTATTTGTCTTTTAAGTGACTTAATTGTGTACATAATTTTTACACCGGCAATTATAGAGCTTAACTTAAATTATTCCCAAACTTGTTTCTATTATCCTAACTCCACGCCACCATGAATGTTGAATGTTTGGGTAAGTTTCACAAATGGTCATATAATTATGACTTTTTTTTCACCAAAATTATATACTGTAACTTTATTTTTTCTCACGCAAAAATCATAAAACTTTTACTAATTTACGACTCGCACACTAAAATTTGTAGTGAATAACACTTTAGAAGTTTAATACTTTTGATAGTGTAATTTTAGAGTACTTTATGTTTTTGTGTAATGGATATTTTTCTTATTTAATCTTTTATAGTTGTGTCAAATTTATTAAAGGCATTATAGAAGCTTGGATGCATACGGTGTTTTAAATAAAATATAAGACTGGGATGTCAATTGTTAAAGTGAATGAATAAATATATGTATATGTTGGAAGTAAAGAAATGCAAAATTTCGGGCAGGAGGAAACGATAGTGGTGGTTTAGAATAGCCGTTTTAAAAGCAAATCAAATACATAATTGGATTGGATTACGGCGGTTTAAACCCACCGCAATTAAGCAATTGGAAACGCCACATGAAGAACTGGTTATTACGGCGGTTATACAATGTAGATTACGGCGGTCTTTGGGAACCGCCACAATACTATTTGGCGGAAGAGATTATAGGTTTCTGTAAGCCGTCAGTCTGGTGCATTGCTGCGGTTTGAAACCGCCGCTAAACGCAAATATAACCGCCGCAAATGCACATTTTTTTATGTAGTGAAGTGCACAAAAATTATAGTGATCGGAAAACATAATTTTTCGACAGTATTATAAAATTTTTGTGTTTTTACATATAATATACATATCTTTTTCCTAGCGGATGCAATTAGTTTTAGTACNTTTAAATATATTATAATATTTATGTGACAATAAATTCTTTGAAATATCTTATGTTAAATGTATTATAATATTTATGTGTCAATAAAAGATTATGATCAAGAGTAAAATAAAAAGAGATCAATCCTTTAAAGTAGATTAAAAAATAGAGTCACACAACTTAAAACATTATCTAAGACGTAGCTAATGCTCCATCTCATGCTATTTGGCTTTTCTCGTTTACTTCCCTTTGTTTTAATGGTAAAGAATATAAGAGAAATAACACATATATAGTTGCATAATGTACATTTAACTCGTGTCACATTTCTTTGTTTTTTTCCCCCCTCTCTCTATGGTGGGGAGAAGGTGGGGTGAAGGGTCAGATTTTCCTAGACGTTGCCGACAATACATAGGACTATATTATTGAAAGAAATTAATACAAATAGTTTTACATTTCAGTTGGGTGCGTAGTTTGCATTTAAGATTGAAGATAACTGATTAGTACTACACCATTCAGCACT